GCNGNNNNGNNNNGNGCNNAGNNNGNGNNGNNGNGNGNGNGNAGGGGGGGGGAGGGGGCGTGAGGACGCAAAGAAGGGGGGATGGACGAGGCTGATGGACAAGAGGGGCGAAAGGAGGAAAGCGAATGATGGGGTCGGTCGGTGAAGACGCTCTTCCAGCACCCATGCGGCCCCGCGGCGACGTCGCAGCTTCAGCGGTCGAGGATGGCGGCGGGACCGTTGCGGTCCATCCTGGCGCGCTCGCGCGCCTTTCGAGAGGCGTTGTACAGCCCATTGAGCGCCTGCTTGACCTGGTCCAGATCGCGAGCGTTGAGCGCGCTGCACCCGGGCGCGCAGAGGGGAACGACGACGAGGGCAGGTCAGCATCTCCGTCACCGTTATTGCGCAAATCTGTGATCCCGGACTCGACGACGACGACGACGACAACGACGACGACAACGACGACGACAACGACGACGACAACGACGACGACAACGACGACGACAACGACGACTCACCCGATGAACTTGTCCACGAACTGGGCCTTGTCGTTGGTGGGCACGTTGCTGGTCGGCAGCTGCTCGACGGCGGGGGCGATCCAGGCAGCCACCTCGTTGGGGAATCCGGCCGACAGGACGCGCAGCACCGTCACGACGACGGGCATCGAGTCTGGGCTGAAGTGGGTGACGAGGCCCGTGAGGAGGAGCGAGACGAGCTGGTAGCCCTGCTGCCCGACGACCTGGCGGATGCCCGCGGCAAACGCCGTCATCTCCTCCATCGACGGCCCCTGCCGCGGGTCCGACGAGATAATCTGCGCCGGAAGCGGCGTGCCCGGCTGGCTGGCCGAGGGCGGCAGCGACAGCGAGTCGTGCCCCACCACCTCGCGGATAAAGTCGAGAGCCACATCGACAATCTCGGGCTTGTAGAGCGTCAGCGCCGACAGCGCCGTGCGGAACGCGTGCGGGAAGACGGGCGAGAGGTACATGAGCGAAGGGACGTTGCCCGCCGTTGCGACGCAGGCGTGCAGGTAGTCCTCGATGACTGTGTCGGTCGCAGGGTGAGGGGAGGGAAAACGAGAAGGTCAGCCGGTCAATCCCTTCGTTCGCGGGACAGACATGTCCGCGAGCAAAGCTGCCGTGTACCGACTGGCCGGCCACTCACCGTCGGACTGGTCCGCGGGCATCGACTCCTCGAGCATCGCCATCGTCTTGGCGCTGATGCGGTCAAAGGCGCCCTGCAGCGCGCCCCGGAGCGCGAGGTCGGCGCCTCGGCCGTACTGGTCGATGCACTTGCCGACGATCCACACGTAGGCGGGGAAGCCGGCCTTCTCAAAGCAGCCCGCCAGCCGGTCGAGGAGGGCGGGCAGCGCCGGCACTGCGAGCTCTCCGAAGAAGCTGAGGCCCCTGCGCATCAGTGCGCACGCCCGCTCCGAGATGAAGTAGGCGTCGCCATGCTGGGCGAGGACCGTGTCGATGACGCCGTAGGCCTCGCGGCACGTCGTCGCGCACGTCTCGGGGAGGTGCTTCCAGAAGCCGGCGCCCACGACCATGAGGAACTTTTCCAGCTGCTCCATCCGGTCCGCCGCCCTGCGCAGGTCGTCCTTGTCGGCGCGCGGCATCGCGCCCACCTGGGCCACCGTCTCGAGCAGCGGCTGGGAAAAGTGCATCAGCGGCTCGGCCGCGTCTTTGGGCGGCATGCCGGCAATGACGTGGGCCACGCCCTCGGACACGGCCATCAGGTCGTCGGGGCCGAGCTTGTCGTTGATCGACTTGAAAAAGTCGTACAGCTGCGGCAGGAACGGCACTAGGTGGCGGTGGCAGTCCTGGCAGAGGTAGTTCATGGCCTGCGCCGCCGCCGCCGACACCTCGGACGTGCTGTGGTCGAGTCCGGCGCTGATGTAGCTGAGCTGCTCCGGGATCCGGTCCGGGTGCATGTCGATCCACTCGGTGTACCGCGACAGCACCAGCAGCGCCGCGTACCGCAGCTTGGGGTGGTCCGGCAGCGTGGGGATGATGTCGATGATCTTGGGGATGATCTCGTCGTCGCGCGGGTCGGCCTCGGCGCCCATGGCCCGCATCGAGAAGAGCGGTGCCTCGACGTCCTGCCACTTGAGCGTATCGGGCGTGCTGCCGGCCAGCGTCGCCTGGATCATGGCGAGCGCCCGCGCCAGGCACTGCCGCGACCCGAGCACCTGGCAGCAGTCCTTGAGCGTGTCGCCCATGTAGTGCCGGAAGCTGCGGAAGTCGTCGCGCTCCTGGCCCGTCAGCGCATCCGGGTCGTCGGGGAAGCGGAGGTGGCGCACGATGATCTCGAGCACCCGCTCGTAGATCTGCATGAACGGCTGGACGCTGAGATCGTCCCGCGCCTGCGCCAGCGGTCCCGCCAGGAGGTACCAGAAGCGGAAGGTGATCTGGACGATGTCGAGGTCGTGGTACGAGGCGCAGTCGGCGATGGCCTGGACGATGGGATAGAACTCGTCCTTGTGCCGCAGCACGAGCCGGTAGTACGACTCGCCCACCTGGACAAAGAGGCGGCAGAGGCCTCGCACCTTGTCCTCGTCGTCGCCAGCCTTGGCGAGCTCGGCGTGAAGGGGCACGACCCGCGGCAGGATGAGCTGGACTATGTCCATGTTCTCCTCGACCTCCTGCGTCTCGTGGATCAGGTCGCACAGGACGTCGACGGCCACGTCGAAGAGGGCGTCGGAGGCGAGCGCATCGAACGACAGCTGGAAGAGGGGCGTCTCGACCATCTGCCTCGCGGCAATCTCGCCCGACTTGAGCCAGCTGCGGAGGCATTGGAAGACGCTGGTCTGGATCTGAGGCGTGATTCCTGCGTTTTGGGAAGGCGGGACGGCGCTCGGAGCAGGAGTATAAGCGCCAGGTTGCGACCACTCCGGCCACGATCCGAGCCCCACCACTCACCAGGAGCCTGGATGTACATCGAGAGCGTCTTGAGGACCTCTGGCGCCGGCTCAGAGAGCAGAGTCGGCATCCGAGTATAGTATTGCTCCTCCTGCAGGCCGGTATAAGAAAGAATGCGCGAGACGGTGAGCGATGGCATCCTTGCGCACATGTCGCGCCATGTGCTTGAACATCGGACGACGTCGGCGGGAACATCGAAGAGGGCGTTGACTACAAGGTCTGGTCCGCAGGGTACGACAGCCGCCTCGGGCCGAGACTCTCGATGCCAGCGTGTCTTGTCCCTTGGGAATGTATCCTCCTCGGCAAGTGTTCAGATGTGGCAAGAGGGCGACAACGGGCGCTCCGAGGGGCTCACCTGCGGGAGATCCGTGGTCAATGGCAGCCGAGCAGCCTTCAGATCCTCACTGATTCCCGCCAGTGCTGTCCTCGCCTTGGCCCCCGGGCCCCTCCCCCCAGTCCTCGCCGGCGCCATGGCGACTTCTTGGGAGTTGTGGATCTCCTGCAGTGGCGGCACGCCGTCCGTAACGACCCAGATAGCATCCTTGAAACCTTAACCTAGCTCCCCACTCACTTCGATTGCGATCCGATGGTTGGACATGACCTCCTCCGGCAGCACCGTGAGGAACTCGAGCAGCGTGCCCACCGTCTCGGCGCTGCCCCCGAACTTTTCAATCATCGAGGGGACCACCTTTGGCCAGTCCGACTCGGGCATTTGAAGGGCCAGGGCGGAGAGCGAGAGGGATATTTGCGTCTGAATGACACGCGGGCCGGAGGTATAGAGGGTGAGGGCGTGGAGGAGGGTGTCGCGCAGCTGCACCCGAGCGGGCGGAGGCACCTGGTCCATGTCAAACGTGATCTGATCGGGGTACGGGCGAGAGGGGGAGGTGAAGGCGTGGAGAGCGAAAGATCAGCCTGGGTCCGGTCGGGTGAGATGGACGGGTCGAGAAGCAGGCCGCGTGATGGTGAGTGCATGCTCACCTTTGTCCTGAAGGTCTGCGCTGCAAAGAGGCGTGGCTCGACGGGCAGGTCGTGCGATAGAAGGAGGGCATTTGCGGTCTGCCATGCCTCGGGCGTCTTCTGGAACTCCTGGAGCCAGGCGTTGGCGCTTGCCTTTGCCTGGTTGTCCGGGTTGGTGTAGAGGGAGTTGAGCGCCTGGAGGACGGCCTGGATGGCTTGGTGCTCCGAATCGGCACCCGGCGTCCCAGGGGCCGAGGCAGAGCTGGGCCCCGCAGCGGCGGGAGTGCTGGCGCCGGACATTTGAGGCGACGGCAGGGCTAGAGACCGGTGAAGTAGCGACGATGGGTCGAGGATGCGGCTCGGTCAGTCGGCGCGGATCTGCCTCGAGGTGCGGGATATCGCCGAAAGGGGGGAAGGGGGCAATGTGCGGCGAAGGGATAGTGAGCGAGGCACGCTGAGAGCGGTAGAGGAGTCGATGCTGGGGTTCTGATGGAGGCTGCGAAGAAGGGAAGCGTGCAACGTTGTGGACGGGTGTCGGTTGGCCCGCCCACGCCGTCAACTGCCGTTGGGCCAATTTTTCGTGGAGCCCAGCGGCAGAGGGCCCCTGCACCCGTCGTCGTCCAGCCCAGTTTGGCCAGGCCAGGCCGGCCAGGGAGAGGGCGCACGCGTGATCTTCCTAGGCGTGGCCGTCCCGACTCGCTGGCTCCAACGCTTCTTCGCCCCGCACCCGGCTTTTCTGCCAAAGTCGCAGCGACTTGTTGTCGACCACCTCACTCGCTCCTGTGACCAGCACAACACAGCGTCAGTCACAGCCGGGATGGCGCACAGTATAGAGCTCGCCTGCACTACGGATCCAGTGCGGCGTCAACGGCCTTCTTTCTACACGGGTCGGCAAGCTGGTGATACAAAGAGGAACCGGTCAGGGCAGGTCCGCGCGGGCGAGCGGCCGATGCAGGCTGAATCTGTGCATCGAGCCCAGTCGAGGCGCAGCCGGGGTGCCAGCTCATTCCAGGCCGGCTTCGTTGGTGAACTCGATGTGCTTCTCGACTGCAACCAGCGAGGAGATGCAAGAACGAGAAGGCAAGAGGGTCGCACCGGGTGGGTCAGCCAATCTGCCGTCGCCGAAACCGCAAGGCAGGCCGGGCGGGCCGGACTCACTGTCTGCTTTCGTCACCGTCGGTCGGATGCTCTGGATCGCCTTGAGGAAGTCGGTCATGACCAGCTTGGGCTGCATAGCGTATGACGGGGGTTGCGGCGCCGCAGCAGACGAGCGATCCTTTTCGTCAGCATCTTGACAGGCAGGAGCAGTGCAACCGCAGGCACGCGCAGACTCACCTCGAGCAGCTGCTCGCCCTCGACCTCGTCCCACGTCATCTCCATGGCCCCCGCATCGCCGGCAGAGCAGGGCGTCAAGTACTCCCTCATCTCCTGCGGCTCGTCGCCGTCGTCGGTGGCGTCCGCCTGGCCGTTGGCGTCGTCCCCTTCCGCGCCGCCGTTCTTGGCCTTTTCCTGCGCCAGCTTCCGCCGCGCCGGCGCCATCACCTTTTTGAAGTGCGTCGCGCCCGTGACTTTGCGCACCGGCTGCATCAGCGCATCGCGCACAAGCACCGAGATATCAGAGCCAGAGTAGCTGCGATGCGACAAAGGAGGTCCCCAATGTGGAGATCGGAGGATGAGAAGTGGTCCAGTCAGATCTCGGATGCGCTCTGCAGCGAGGGCGCGTATATCGATCAAGCTGGAGGCGGAAGCTGCCCCGCCACTCACCCGTCTGTCGCCTCGGCGAGCTCTTGAAAGTCCTTGGTGGTGCACGCGCACGGCGTGTCGCCCACGTTGAGCTCAAACATCCTCTTGCGAGCCGCCACATCTGGCAGCGGGATGTAGATGCGCTTCTCGAACCTGTTGCAGTTGTTTTGCGCCAGATTTGGCACACCGTCAGGGCTCAGCGTCGAGACGGGATCGAACAGAGTCTCCGCTGCTTGACTTGCAGCGCCACCACGGACTCACCTTCGCTTGATGGCCAGGTCCAGAGCCCAGGGACTGCGATAGCATCGCACATACGGGAGGGGTGAGATAGCCCGAGCAGGAATAGAACGTCAGCCGCTAGCCCTGCCGGCATCGTTGGACGCCGCACCAGCGGCTCGTTGCACGGCTACCTACATGTTGGTGGCGCCCAGGACCAGCACGCCCGAGTCGTCGTGGCCGACGCCGTTCATCTGGACGAGAAATTCGGTCTTGATGCGCCTCGACGCCTCGCTCTCGCCTTCGCCTCGCGTGCCGCAGAGCGAGTCGACCTCGTCGATGAAGATGATCGAGGGCTTGGCCTCCCGCGCCATCTGGAAGAGCTGCTTGACGAGCCTGTCAGGGATACGTGGCGATCGAGCTCCGTCTGCATCAGCCAAGCGATCCGAGAGCGCTGCCGAAGCGTGTGTGTGCTGGCGCATCGCATCGTCCGTCATCGTGCCGGCCACCCGTTCCACTCACCTCTCCGATTCTCCCATCCACTTGCTGACGAGATCAGAGCTGCTGACGCTGAAAAAGGTGCTCTTGGCCTCGGTCGCGACGGCCTTTGCCAGGAACGACTTGCCCGTACCGGGAGGGCCGTACATCAGGATGCCGCGCCACGGCGTCCGCTTGCCGACGAACATCTGCGGGAACTTGATGGGCAAGATCACGGCCTCCTTGAGCGCCTCCTTTGCCGTGTGGAGGCCCGCGACATCGTCCCACTTGACGTTGGGCGTCTCGGACAGGACGGCGCCTGCGGTGCAGGGTGGATGAGGGCCGAGGGCGTCGGCGGTCAGGGCCGATCAGCGGTGCGTTCCGAGGAGGCGCACAAAGGAGGCCTAAGAGGAACTGGCACTCACTCGACAGGCCCGCTCGGAGCTTTTTCGTCTCTGGGTCGACATCGTCATCGTCGTCGCCGCTGCAAGTGTGGAAAGGGAGCCCGATAGGAGGGGGGGGGGGGGGGGGGGGGGGTCAGCCGTCGTGCTCCGACACCTCGACCCGAGCGGACGCGGCATGCGGCCATCGACTCACTCCTTTTTGCCTCCGGTATTGCCTCCGACGCCCTTGTCTGCGCCGTTGGCACCGACGGCTCTTCTGGAGCGGTCCTCGTTGCTCTTGGAGATGTGTTCCTTGAGCTTCTCCGCGCGGGCGAGATACTCTGTGAACTTTTTGCGGATGAGCTCCTTGAGCTTATCGTTTTTCTCGTCTGCAGCGGGCGGGAGAGTGCGAGGCAGAGGCAGCGGCAGATGTCAGCGCCCTCTTCGCTTCGGCCCCTCCAGCAGGCAGGCCCGGGATGCGTGCATTTCATGGCCATCATGAAGTAATCGAGGCTGTTTTGGTAGAGCTTGTAGGCCTCGTTGTAGTTCTGCTTGACATCTTCGTCGATGGCCTTTTGCACGATCTCGATGGCTTTCTGAGGTGAGGCGGAGAGGGATGTTGGTGCGGGGTGGGGGAGGCAAGATCAGCGCGGGTTTAGACCAAATCCAGAGCCGGACGGGGGTTGACGCACGCTGAGGAAGTCCGAGTTGGCCATCTTGGCCGGCGTTGTACGGAGGAGCTCTGGACGCCCCTAGATGATGAGCGAGCGGAGTGGCCGGCGATAAAGTCTAGGGCTTCCGCTGTCCGGTTGCCTGCAGAGTCGGTGTTGGTGGCGTGAAGGGGGCAGAGCGGCAGGAGCGATGGGTGGTGGTGTTGCCCTAGGGGCTGTCGAGGATATCCCGATGGAGATGGTGAAAGCTGACACGAGAGGGTGGTGGTGGTGTTGGCGATCGACGGTGGCGTTGGCGGTGATGGCGATGGGCTAAAGATGCGAGGAGGCGAGCGAGGGTCGAGGTGATGGTTGGGCGTTGTTTGGACGGGAGGGCGCCGACCATCGCGCTCGCCCCTTGGGGAATTGAAATGCAGGCACCACCAGCCCGCCATCATCGTGGCTGGGTGGCCCTGGGCTCAGGCCGGGGACCTGAGCCCTCTCGGGCTGGCAGGCGACCGAGTCTGGCCCGCTGGCCGTGCGAGCGGTCCCTGGCCTGGCCACCAGCCACCAGCCACCAGCCACCAGCCACCAGCCACCAGCCTGGCTGTCCAATTTGTGGAGAAGCCAGTTGGCTCGCTGGGGCTGGGCTGGGCCAGCCAGGCTAGGCTGGACCCGTCAAGCGCGCATTCGAGACCCCCATCATCCCGCTCAGTCGAACGGAGTTAGCGTAGCGTACAGTACAGTACAGTACCAGGCGGCTCAGCAACAGACGCTGGCCGCCACCGAGTCGACGAAAGAGTCGTTTCGATGTTGCAACTGCTGAGCCATGCTCTTGGAACGAACCTGCCAGCCTCTGCCGCGAGACAAGCTGGCTCTCTGCCTCGCCCTGCCGCTGCTCGGGACCAACTCGCCGCGTGGCAGCCAGGCCCAGGTCAGGCCAGGCAGGGCTAGCCATCCAGCCCAACCAGCGCGCCCAGCACGCCAAGCTAGCGCGCCGCGGCCTGCGTGAGCTCGCTCCTCTCCGAGTTCCGGGGGTCGCAAGCCTCTCTGCTGGTCTGAGCGCGTGGCCCGACGCTCGGATCCTCTCGAAGAACCTCGCTCGACATCCTTCCATCCGGCCACCACCCGCCGCAGTCCTCTTCACCACCCCCACCACCCCGTCGTCCTTGGCTTACCGGCCACCTGGCCTCTTGCTGCGCTCGTTCAAGCCATGGTTGACACCCAGGGAGCACCGCCAGGCGCAGCGCCCATCGCCTCGGCACCCCTCCTCCCTGTCCCGCCCTACACCCTCGACCCGCTCCTCTTCCCCGCGTTGCCCCAGGACGATGCCTTCAACTCACCCAACCCAAACTCGCCCGCGGCCCTCTCGCAGCTGCACAACAAGGCCGTGCGGTGCGCAGAGGGAGACCGCGACAACCTCTACGTCGGCACCTCGGACGGCGTCGTCCACGCCTACGCCCTCATCCCGCCTCCAAACGCCTCCAGCAGCAGCAAGCGCACGGCCGCACCGCGCTACCGCTTGCAGCTCAGCAGGCTCATCTCCAACAACGCAAAGCCCGTCGAAAAGATCCTCCTCCTCGCCGACCTGCCCCTCGCCGCCGTCCTGTGCGAGGGCGTGCTCAGCTTCTACACCCTCCCCTCCTGGACGCCCGCCCGCGGCCTGCCCTCGACCCGCGCCGTCAGCACCGTCGTCCTCGACGACGATGAGCTCATCAACAATTGTGGTCTCGACGGCTTCGGCATGGTCAGCCTCTGCATCGTGCGCCGCAAAAACATCCTCCTGGCAAAGGTCGGGCAGAACGACAATCGCGACCCCACCTGGGCGGTTATCAAGGTGAGCTGGCCATGTTTGACCATCCGAGCCTGGGCTGTTGTCGCTATAGATGCATCCTGCGCTGACATCCTCCGTCTAAATGGCAACCGTGCGCTGCTCCACCTCACCACGCCGCCCCCAGGATATCCCGCTGCCTGGCGGCGCCATCATCGCACGCCGGCACGGCGACGCCCTCTGCATCGCCAACACCACCGAGTACAGCCTGGTCAACCTCTCGGACGCCACCATCACGCAGCTGCACCTGCCCATCAGTCAGACGGGCGAGTCTCCCTCGGCCCAGGTGCGGCCGTCGATCGTTTCGATCCCCGTATCGCCGCCCCGCGGGTCTGGACCATCGTCCTCGTCGACGGCCAGCGCCGCCGACCTGCCCAAGTGCGAGTTTCTGGTCACGTCTCACTCGGGCTCCATCACCCTCGGCGTCTTTGTCACGCCGTCTGGCGACCCGACGCCGAAGCTGCTCGAGTGGCCCAGCCACCCGCGCTCGCTGGTGTACGCGTCCGACTACGTCTTCTCGCTGCTGAGGAACGACACTATCGAGGTCCACGACGTGCGCAACGACGTCATGGAAAAAGTTCAGACCGAGCACCTGCCTCCGGGCGTCGAGCCGCGATTCCTCACCGCCTTCCCAACAGCCGCAGGTCCTGACCTCGGTACAAGCGAGCAGGTTGATGGCACGTACGGCGGCCTCGACATTGTCAAGGTAGATCTCGACGCCCCTTCGACGTCGAGTCTGCTGCATCGGCAGGGCGGGGATGGCGACTCGGCTCAGAGGCGCAGCCAGGTTGTCCTGTGCGGGCGCAACTCGATCCACACGCTGGATCAAGACTCGCTGATGGACTGGGGTCTGGGACTGCTCAAGAGAGGCCACCTGGCATCGTTGGAGGAGGCCCTCCTGACTGTCGCAGAAGAACAGCGTCAGCATCGCCAGGTCGGGCACAGGAACAAGGCAGATGCGGCAGCGCGGCTACGCACCTTGCAGTACAGCCTTTTGTTGCAGGCGCTCACCCTCGAATACCTGCAACGGGCCCGCTTCTGGGACGCCGGCGAGACCTTTTCCAGGAGCGGAGGGGATCCAAGGCTGCTGATCGCATTCTCCGGCGAGTCCGACGGCGGGCGTTCGAACGGTTCTCGGCACACCCAAGATGCCTCGGAAGCGTCGACAGGCAGCGCGAGAAGGGAGGCCATCGTGCCCGCGGCATTGCGTGAGCACATGGAGCGCTTCTGCACGGGAGGGCAGGGCAGCCTGTGCACTGTCGAAGACCTGAGTGAGTACGGCGGTGGTCGAGCTTGGGGATGGAAACCTGACGGGGCGGCACGCGCTGATGCTCTGCTCGTTCTCGATCTCTCCTTTGATGCATCAGTACGCCGCAACTTGGCCATGAACTACTGCCCGCCCCTCGATGCCGAGGCGGATCCAGTGCTCTTGGAGCTTGCGGATGTCCTCACCGGGCGGGCATCGGACATGCTGCTGACCGTGCTGCGGTCGTGGCGCACGGCTGCCGCCGGGCACCAGGAGACGCCCGAGGAGTCGGAGAGAGAGTGGTGTGGCTTCACCATGGACGACCGGATGCGGGAACGCGTGGCCGCAACGGTCGACGGGACGCTGTTGAAGCTGCTGGCGGAACGTGCCAGCACAGGGCACGATCCGGCCGGGCTCGACAGCCTCCTCAGCGAAGAACTGGCGTGCTCGGCCGAATTGGTCACCGAGGTCCTCGAGGGACGCTCGTACCTTTCGATGCTGGCGGATGTCTACCTCAGACAGCAGAGATGGGGCGAGGTGTTGGAGATCTGGACGGGTCTGATCGACGGGCGCAGCGAGGATCGCAGTCCTCGTCGAAGCCAGGACGACAGCCACCAACCGACGATAGAGGACGTGGCAAAGCTGCTGGCGACTATCGAGGACCCCCTGCTGACCACCAGGTTCGGCAAGTGGCTCGTCAAGAAGGATCCCAAGGCCGGTGTCGAGATCCTCACGAGGTCGGGCGCCGGCACCAATATCGCAGCCGGCGGCAATGGCGGGGCAGCGCCGAGGAACACAAAGGAGAAGGAGCTCGCTGCTCTCGAGGGACACCGCGCGACGCTGGCCGAGATCGAGGCGATCGATACCAATGCGGCCGATGGCTTTGTCGAGAACATTGTCCTGGCGGCCACCAAGATCCAGGATGCGGAGATGCACGAACGCCTGCTGAGGGTTCTCGTGCGCAGGGTCGAGCAGCACCTCTCTGATGCCGAGCGGCGGGCTACGCACGTAGAGACGGGTGAGTCTGGTCTTGAGAAGCGACTGTTAAGGGAGCGCAGGAGGCTGACGATCGCTCTTTGTCCACTCATCGGCGCATTCCACCCAGCGACCGACTACGCGGCAGGATCCTTTGCCGAGTCGTTCTTTGCCCACCTCGCGCTGGCCGTCGCCTCTCAACCTGGCGGTGCGGACCGCCTCAAGCTGGCAATGTTTCTCCAGGGCTCGGCGGTGCTCGACCTCGATAGGGCTCTCGAGGCAGTGAGCCACCTGAACACTCTCGCGTACGAGCGGGCCATCGTTCTGGGCAAGGTGAGCTTGCGGCATTGTCGTCAGATCAGCGCACCGAGCGACACGCAGGCAACTGATTGTTGTATCTTTTACCCCCCTGCTCGTCACGACGCGCGGATCAGCTGGGCCGGGATCGAGAGGCCCTCGAGCTGCTGGCCATTGAGCTGCGAGACGCCAATTCCGCCGAGGCGTATTGCTCTCAGGATGGAGCGGTGCTCTCGCCGATGCTGGCGGGCAGCGTGGCCGAGGAGAGCCCGGAGCTGCAGCCGTACGCTGCGCTCGTCAGCCGCGCCCATCAACAGCGCAGCCGTGCCGCCGTCAAGAACGCGCACAAGGACGTGGCTCAGGCGCGGCTGCGCAAAGAGGAGCTGCTCAAGACGCTGCTGACAATCTACATGGAGAACGGCAAAGAGTGAGTGGCGCGGTGGGCAATCGGCCAGACGGCGGAAGTGGGCGCGTTGCTGAGCGACGATGAAGGATGTCGATGCTGACCTCGACCTCGATCTCGCCGCGCTCGCTATCGCATCCACTTGGCAGCCAGAGCTTCCGTACTGCGACGGCGCACCTGCTCAACACGCAGGCGCTGTACCTCGACTCTGTCGAGATCCTGCGCCTTGTGCCCGACGACTGGCCGCTATCGACGCTCGAGACGTTTCTGTCGCAGTCGCTGCGGCGGCAGCGGCATCGGCGGGCCGAGGCCGAGGTGACGCGGTCGATTGCCGTGTGCCGCGACTTTGACGTGGCCGAAGACTCGTGGGCGAGGCTGAGGTGAGTAGTTGGGGACCTCCCCACACGGTGGTGATCGACCCGCGAGGCGAGGAGATGGACTGACGACGCCACAACCTCCTTCTGCGCGACGCTACTTCTGTCGATTTTGCGTGATAGGGCCATGGGCGGCGTGCTGCAAGACACCGACGACGTCGACGGAGACGACGCAGGCAGCTTGGGCGGTGCTGCACAGAGGCGAGGCGGCGAGGAGAGCGACGATGCCACAGTGGCCGTCACCGAGAAGAGGGAAAAGAGCGGGGGCGGCGACAACGCCGACGACCGGGGCGAAAAGGCTGGCACCGTGGTGGCGCCTGGACGGCTGCCGCCGACCAAGACAGAGGTGCACGATATCGCCCTCGACGACCGGGACGAGGATGCGGCAGCGTGGTAAACCAGAGCGAAGCGGCGAGATGCGGGTCACTACAGCACGCTGCACGCATGCTGGATGCCCAGGCAGGGGGCTGCTGAGCTCGGGCAGGGCGACTGAAATCGATACCCGGGCCTCGCTTTGCCGACCGGGCATTTCCGGTTTTCGAAAGTTGCGAGAACTCTTTTCGACGTTTTCGAAAGCTGACGCGTGGCCAGCTTTTTCGAGAGTCGACACCTGAGGAAAGAGTCGATCTCAACGTGAGACTTTGAAAATCGTGACTGTGGAGACGCGGAACGCCCGCTGATCCTTGCCAGAGGTTCATCTTCGACACGCTGCTACAAAGTCTAATTTCTGATCGTTGCCAAATTTCCGCATTCCACGGGACTCGAGGAAGCAGGCTGCTCGAATCAAGTTCTGGATGCTGAATGGGTGATTCTCGAAAACGGAAGCCTTCCGACAACTCTGCAAAAACTCGAAAACCCCCTTTTGGATGGGGGCGGCGCAGACAGGAACCCGGGCAGGGAGGCAGGCGAGGCAAGGCAGGGCGAGTGCGCCTCCACACCGACGGCCGTCATGTGAAAAACGAGGGGCCTGGCAGCTGGCCACCCTTGCCCGACGCCATTTTGCAGGTCTTGGAGTCAGGCTGCCGGCTACCCTAGCTGCCCGCCCGCCTGTTGGTCTCGCGAGGGAGCCAGCCAGCGTGCCTGACTGACCCGGCCTGGCTGGCTTGACTCACGAAGAAGAGTGACCGTGCGTACGTGCCTGGCGAGCCTCGAAAAAAAGCAGCCAGCCAGGCCCAAGGCAAGGCAGGCAACCAACCACCTTTGCACGCACGCCACCCTCGATTCGTCGGTGGGGTCCAGCGATTCGTTGCGCAGGCACCGCCCGGCCGTCCCTTCCCTCGCAAGGTCTGCCACGGTCAAGTTGGCGTATGTTTTGATGCGTGACGTTGCCGTTGTCAAGAGAGAGCAGACGCGCTCGATGGCCCCAGACGTCGACCTTGCTGCAGCGTCCCTGCCCGCCTGCCTCGGCCTCTTTTTCAACGTCGGCGGCGGCGGCGGTGTGTGATGACTGGTTGCCTGAGGAGTTGCTCGTGCGTGCGTGCGTCTAGCTGTCGTCTTGCTCGCAGCGAGGCGCTGCGGGATGCTCTCCGAGGGGCTTCGACGTGCGGCCGAGGCAGGGTACGTACGGCGTTGGGCTTTCAGACGCTTCCCACCACGCTGGCCAGGCCAGCTCGCTGCTGCTCGCAGCTGGCTCCTCGCATACAGGACCTCCGCCCCCCGCTCTCCCCCCTCGCCGGCTAGGCCCCGCTCGACTCTCCCCTTTCCCCTCCACCACCACCACCACCGTCACCACCCCGCCGCTATTGACTCGAGCCAGGCCGACCCCGCTGCAAGCACTCGGCCAACGCCCATCTCTCGCACTTCTATCAATTGTCCCAGACCGACACCCGTCTGCCCACCATGGAGGTCGCCCAAGCCAAGACCGACGTCAAGGGTAAGTCAGACGAGGCCGGATCGTAGCAGCATTCAGGCATGGCGGCACCCCGCTGACTTGGCCTTGCTACCGCGCCGCATGCGCGCAGACGTCGTGAGCAACCTCCTCTCCCACGACCCCGTCGTCTTCAACTCGACCATCAACGCCCACTTTGCCTCGGGCTGCACCTACGCCGGCCACGGACTCAGGATCCACGGCGCAAGCAACCTCAAGCACGCCGCTTTCCTCTTCAACCTCTTGGACGCCGGCAGCGCCGCAAAGATCGACGACAGCGACATCCGCTGGGACGAGGCGTGAGCACCCGCCCCCAGCCTCGTCACAAATGCACAGCCCTCTGACCCACAGCGCTGACACCCCACTCGTCTCACCACATGGCCCCTTCGCCTTCGCCGCAGCTCGAGCACGGCCCGCGTCAAGGCTACCAGGTTCCTGAGGCCTCGCCTCTTCCCCCTCTTCCAGTTTGCGGTCCCCACCGAGGTCACGCTCACTTTCAACCCTTCCTCGACCGACGCCGATGCCAAGAGCGAAAAGAGCCAGCTCCTCTACTGCACCTCGTTTGAGGACAAGTGGCCCCTCGACTCGCTCATCAGGAGCCTGCCCATCATCGCCTTCTTGTGAGCCTGGCTTGCTCGCCTGCTCTCGGCCTGGATCCTGCCTGTGTGCCCTCGCTGACTCTCTCCCTGGCCGCCCCCAACCTTCGACCTGTACTGCAGCTACACGCACTTCTTCACTCCGCTGGCCACCATTTTCGTCCTGCAGCTCTCCAACTTCGTCTTTGCCCTCCATGCTCGTCTGGGCTCGTGGGATCGCCGCATGGTGGAGCCCACGGTCAAGACGTACCAGGACAGCGTCGACCCTCGCCTGCCCAAGGGGCTCAAGGATGGCTTCGAGCGGGGCATGAACCTCGCAGAGGGTCTTGGCGGCCACGCCATCAGCCTGGTGACGACCCTCTCTCACGGACCCCTGCGGGCCATTGAGACGGTGGCGCAGACGAGCACCTCGTGAGTACGCCCCGTGTTCTGCCATCGACTTACCGGGCCTTTGTTGACATCTCTCGACACCGAACCCTCGCCGTTGCCAGCCTCGCCAACGCCGTCCTGCCTGGCGCGCTGCAGCTGCCGTACCCGAGCGTTTTTGGCGACGATGCGGCCACCTCCAGCGGTAAGCTGTCGAGCAAGAGCAAGAACCGCGAAGGCCTGGTCCTCTTTTCCGACTCGAACCCCGCCCGACGCATGTCAAACTCGCAGATGCCCGAGATCCGCCTCTCGCCTAGCGACGAGCAGCCGCCGAGCTACCGCAGCGTCGAGTCGTCGTCCGAGGAGGGCGAGGGTGCCAAGGGCAAGAGCAAGAGCAAGAGCAGCGGCAGCGGCAGCGGCAAGTCGAAGAGCAAGAGCAAGTCCACGAGCGCCAGCCCCAGCGGCAGCGGCAGCAGCAGCGGCAGCGGCAAGTCGAAGAGCAAGAGCAAGTCCACGAGCGCCAGCCCCAGCGGCAGCGGCAGCAGCAGCGGCAGCAGCAAGCCCGACAAGAAGGCCGCCACGGTCGAGGATGACAACGGAGAGAACGACGAGGGCACGCAGAAGCACGCCAAGGTGGTCGTGGGCGACGCCAACAGCGGCGAGGGGGCCAAGGAGATTGACGTCGTGACGCACGAAGTCACCGAGACAGGCGGCGACAAGGACCAGGGCGGAGCGTCGCTCTACTCGCAGCTCAAAAAGGACGGCGAGCTCGAAGAGTCGCTCCTGTCGGCCGAGCACGCCGCCGACGGTGCTGGCAGCGACACGACCTCGGCCCAGTCGAGCCCCAAGCTCGACCAGGACGACGGCGGTGCCGCCCCGGCCAAGACGTCGTCGTCGTCGAGCGGCGCCGGCGGCAGCAAGAAGAAGAAGAAGAGCAAGAGCAGCAAGACCAAAAAGTGAACGGCGGCGCTGCCCGATTTCGCGCACCCGTCCCACGGGCCTTTCTCTAGTTGCGGCCAGTCCAACTCCCTTCTCGTTCGCTCCTACATCTCTGGCATCGCCCGCGCTGTGTCGCCTCGTCTCTCGCTGTGATCTAGGCACGTCGATCTCTGTCTCCCTGTATCGCTACCGGACGGTCTCGTTTTCCCTACCCGCATGTTTCTGAATCCCCGCAACGTCGTCCATGGTCAAGAGCGGGGAGCAGACGTCGCTCCAGCTAGGGGGGCAGGAAGGCAGGGAGGCAGGCAACGGTAGGTCAAGGGAGGCTTGCAGTCGCGGACGGAGCGAGCGAGAGAGAGAGAGCGGTGTGGCGTGTTGCGGCGTGGTGGTGTGGGGATGTTGTACAAGGGGGGGATGCCGATGTCGAAGGGGAGCGGGGAGGGAAAAGGCGAGCGAAGGGGGAAGGGGGTGCGGACCGCGGTGGTCGGAAGGTCGTTGAGTCGGTCATCCGATCCGCAGCGGGTAGGCCATATCGGGAAGAGGGGGGCTCGACCTCGGTTGGTAGGATGTATCGACAAAAGCGCGATGTCCCTCCTCGTCTCATCGTCTCGTCATTCCCGCCCCATTTTGCGCCCGATGGCAAGAACCAGAGTCTCCAAGAGGGGAGAGGAGAGAGAGCGAGGGTGGATTAGAAGACGGGCGTGATGAGGTCGCCGGCTTTACGGACAAAGACGATGCCGGCGGTGAAGACCGAGAGGCCCCAGAGGATCGAGAGGTTTCCGACGCGGTGCTCGGGCGCGAGGACCTGGGTGGCGAGGAAGTGGGAGAACCAGGATCGAGGACGCTTCTGCGCGCCTCCTGCGCCGCTGGGAGAGGTGAGGAATCCGGGTTGGGCAGACCTGTCCAGCCCAGACCAGCCAACAAGGAGACAGAAGCGAGAGTGGTGGGTGGGGGGGGGGGGGGGGTTAGGATGACGGCGCAAGCAGGATTGGGACACGGAGGAGCGAGAGGTGGACGTACAGGTACGAATCGTTCTTTCGGGACGCCATCTTGTCTCTTGCTTTGGCGGGTGTAATTCGGTTCGGTGATGTGGGACGATGGGGCAGCTTGACAATGATGACGATGGTGGTGGAAGGTCGAGATGTGCGTGTGCTGAGGCTGGCCAGCCCAGGTGGGGCCGGTTGGGGCGGTGTGGAGTGACGAGAGGTGAAAACCCTCGCTTCCGCACCGTCAGGCCTGACTAAGGCTGACCCTCTCCGTTTTTTTTCCTTTTCCTCGGGAGTCGGCGGCTGTTTCTCCTTCTTCTCAACCCGAACCCGTGCCCTGCCCTGCACCCTTCCTCCACCCACCCACGCTCTCCATCTGCACACGCTTTCCTTTCCGCTCAGCAGCGCAGGCAGCGATGCGATGCGGTGCGATGCGATGCGATTCTCTAGAGTCTATGCAAGCAAAGCAGAAGACGTGCGCACATGCGTCTATATCTATCGTCGTCGTTGTGGCAGACGCGTCGCCAATCATCAGGTACGTGCGTGCGTGCGTGCGTGCGTGCGTGCGGGTGGGCGGTGACTTCCGAGGTGATGCGGGTCGAAGGCAGGCCGGCTTGCGTGCTGATCCTAAGATCTTGTCTGGATGCCACCCGACGAGGACGACGGCGAGGACGGTGCGGTCGGTTTCCGCTCTCTTGTCCAGTCGACGACGAGCCGTAGCTTTTCCAGGACGACAAAGACGATGATGGTCTGTTGTCGTTGCGACCCAGGGTAGAGAGGCAAGGCGTTGCGCCACGTCAGTATGCTGTCGAGGCCGCTCCAGGCTGATAACGTATCGACGGAGCCCGACGAAACCCACATTCGGCGAGAGGCGCATCCACGCCGGCGTCCAGCCGCGAAAGAGGAAGGCGGGCCCCTCTTTCCGGAGCGACTTTGTCAACGTGCCCAGGATCCCTTGCCCGGTCCCGCTCGCATTCATCACCCTCGACTTGATCACGCTGGAGCCGGCGGCGATGTAGAAGCAAAGGGAGGAGAAGGTAAGAGTGTCAGCTCCCGGTGCTCGAGCCCCTCAAGGCGCGCGGGGTCCCCACCACTGTCTCTGCGCGCACGCGCACTCACTCGGCAGGCGAGCAGACCGTCGTCGCAACGGTCCCCGCCATAAAGGAGGCGCTAAAGTGCAGCAGCGTGCCCTCCTGAAAGAAACCCGAGGAGAGGAGCGTGTTCTTGAAAAAGTCGTATCTGTGGGAGATGAGAGCACAGAGGGCGGGTCAGGATTGGCCGCGTCAATGACCGACAACCACCAAAGCATCGCCCGTCGGCCAACGCGGCGGGGCAGGGCGAGGCACTCACGTTGTAAGCTGGCTCGCGTTCATCAGAATGGCTCGCACCGTGTTGGGCCCGAGGCCGCGGAACAGGCTCCCTACGCCCTCCTCCCTCGTCATCCTCGCCACTCCCTGCAGCGCGTTGCGGTACTTGTATTGCTGTTGGTCGAGAGAGGCGATGTGGTGGAATGCGATGCGAGAGATGGTCAGCGATGGCCCCTCGTCCTCCCCCGCGCGCTCCGTCACAGCGACGACTCACCTCGCTTGGTGGCTTGTTGACGTCGGACGTCATTCGTACGAGGATGATGTCTGCGGGCGCGGTACGAGGGACACCTTGGTCAGCATAGGGCGACGCGGCAGCAGAGGCGCTCAAACACCGGAGCAACCGAGATGCTCACCTGCCGGGTTGCCCGCCAGTCCGCCCGCGGCACCGGCAGCGCTCGCACAGAGGGCCATCTTCCACGCTGGCATGGGTTTCTTTGGATCGTCGCCCGGAGATCTCGCCATCTGCTTGAACTTGTCGTATGCTCCGAATCTGAGCGTGGGCAGGGCGTTGGCGGTCAGCGCTGCAGAACGATGACGACGACGACGACGACAGAAGAAGGGGATAGAAAAGAGACTAGGACAAGGGCCTGCTCACCTTGTGACGCTGTACGTCATCTGCCTGAGCAGGCTGGCGCTGAGACCGACGTACCACCCTCGGTAGCCCTCCGTCTTGAAGGTGTTGACGAGGAGGGGGAGCATGCCCTGTTTGGACGAGGCGGTCTGCATGCGCGTCTTTGTGAGGTCGAGCGGGTGGGTGAAGAAGGCGGCGATCGAGGCCGACGCGCCGCCGAGCCAGAAGGGATACCGCTTCTCGGTCGCCATGACTGGTACCGGGGGTGCGGCCGAGATCGGTCCGCTGATAGCGTCGGTTGGCCGGTCGTCGGACCGGGTGGGCCTTGCGATGGTCTAGGCAGAGGGTGTTGGACCTTACAGCAAGCGAGCGAGCGCGCGAGGCAGCGTAGAGTTTGAAATCCAGGTCCCTTTTGCTTGTTTGCCTGTCGAGGCGGAGCTGTCAAACAGAGGCTGTCGAGGGTCAAGTGCTGCGGCCGTATTGGAGATGACTGGAGGAGGATGGGTATGTACAGGGCGGTAGGTGAGGAAGGGACAGCGTGAGGCCGTGGTGATGGCGACGGCAACGGCGAGGGTGGAGGGGGAGAGGGGACAGAGAGAGGCTAGGCCGGAGGAGGAGGAGGATGGCCGCGGGCAGACGTCCGGGACGAAGAGGGCGAGGATAAAGCCGAAAAAGGGCCGACGTCGATGATGATGTTTGATGAGAAGAAAAAAACCTGCAGCGCCGGGCAGGGCAGGGCAGCGCAGCGCAGAGGCAGGGCGGAGTCAGGGCCAGGCGAGGCCTGGCTAGGGCAGGGGACGGCAGGGGACGGCATCAAGCGGCCAGGACCCTGACGGGCCTGCCTTGCTTGCAAGCCTGTCTGCCCACAGAGCGGGCCCTGACTGGCCTCGCCTCGCCTCGCCTCGCCTCGCCTGCGTCTCCCCCACGCCAGCCGGACCCTCGTGCCGACCAGGCAGCAGGCTAGGTCGCGTCGCTGCCACAACCAAGGCCCCAACGCCACGCCACGCCACGCCTGGCCAGGCCATGAGGCCGTGCCATGCCATGCCCCAGACAAAGCCACCGTCCGAGCACCAAAGCAGACAGGCAGGCAGGCAGGCAGTTGCGGCGGGAGATATCACCAACGCACACACGGTACGGTACGGTGTGTCCGCACGGTAGATTGACCACGCCGAGGTCCAAGCCGGGTCCCAAGCCGCAGGACAGGCCCGTTAGCCGGCGTGGCACGAGGCCTCGACCGTATCCAGCCACCACGCGACGCCAACGCGAACGCTATCCCCACACTTCTTCCCCACACTTCTCGTCTCGTCTCGACTCGCCTCGACTCAATTTGGCCGGTCCGAACCGCCGCCGCCGGTTACAGCGGAAGAGGACGAGACGGACCTAGAGCACGTACAGACGCCGACTGGCTCGTCCATCCTCGTCCGCCCTTGGCCGCTTCATGCGGGCTCCTCACTCCACCGATAGTCAATCCTCCCCCAACTCACGACCACGGGGTCACCCTCGAGGGCGGGAGACAGACTGCCAGTCCTCGGAGCAGGTCGGCATGAATCCGGACGGCCGGACGGAGACAGATGGAAATGCAAAGCAGATTCAACAAACGGTCCTACAGCGAAAAGCGAGGGCGAGGGCAGGGAAGTGGCTGCCGTCCAGCTAAGTAGGTGGGTGGGAGCCAGGAGGTCGGCGAATCGATTCATAGACGGTCACGGGCTGCGACGGAGAGGGAAAAGGGCAAAGAGCCGACGCAACATAGATGGGTGGTCTCGTACTTCGCGGATACACGTGGTCAAGGTCCGAGCTGGGCAACGAGTGCGAACGCAGACACACCCGTGTCGATGCGGGGTAGAACAGGGCCGCGGCCTTGCGCTCGCGAGCTGTCGGCCGGATCTGGGTGGTCGTCGACGACGCAGAGGACCCGCGGGGATGGCGCCGAGGCATGCAAGCAGGCCAGGCGGCTCGCGCAGTATCAGCTTGCAGTATCGCCGGGAGACGGGCGGCGCCAGGGTCGCAAGCGGTACGAGAATCGATGGCTCTTCGGGCAGCGGAGTGCCGTGTGCGAGCGTGGGACCGGTGTCGCACTTGTTGCCGCGAGGGCGGGGTGGCTACGCCGACTTGAAGAGCGACGATGTGGCTCCGTTGACGTCCTGGTAGGACCAAGAACAAGGGCGACGTGCGAAGGGATGCGGTGCGCTCATGGCCAGCGCTGTCGACGGTATTGTGTCGAGCGGCAAGCAGGGCTGCGTGGCCTCGTTGACGCGGCGGACGCCATGGCTGGACGCCGCGGTGATTGGATGTCCAAGGCTGAGCGCCGATAAAAAAGAGGCGGCTGGCTGGACGGATAGACATCGAAGATCGCAGGAACGACTGCAGCGGTGAGTTGGGTGCCTTGTGGTAGAGCCGACCAGCCGGGGGAGCGGGCAAGGGTGAGGGGGATTCCCTTGACCTGGCGGGCAACTCACTGTGCAATGGAGTGGTCAAAGGGGAGGCGTTCGACGCCGTCTAGCCCTGCTCGTCCTCGTGGGCCGAGGCGGTGGGCGACTTTTTCGGCGGCGACGACCGCCTCACCGTCTTGAGGTGCACCGTCGTATGGTGGCGGTTCATGTCGTGCTTGCGCGCAAACGGCTTGCCGCAGTCGGGGTCCGGGCAGATAAAGTTCTTGGCCCTCGCGTCGGGGTTCTCGTGGGTGTACATGTGCGTCTTGAGGTTGAACGCGCGGTCAAACCACTTCTGGCACACCTCGCACTGGAAGCGCCGGCCCTTGGGCAGCTTGGCCGTCGTGGCGGCGACCTTGCCCGTCTGGATGTACTTCTTCGACGGGCTCGCAGAGTCGCGCTCCGGCGTGGCGGTCGAGGACGACGCCGTCGAGTAGGTGCGCTTGCGCGGATTGACGCCGGTGCCCTCACCGTCGTGCCCGTCGACCGACGCACTGTCTCTCCCGATCGACTCGTATAGGCTCAGGCCGCCGTCGTGGGCGGCGGCGTCGTTGAGCCGGGAGGCGTTCCCTGAGCTGCTCATGACGCCGTCGCCGCCGTTGTGCAGCAGCCCATTCTGGCTGAGCACGCCAATGTCCGCCACGAGCGCTCGAAGGTGGTGCTCCATCGAGGCGCGGTCGAGGTTGTCCGAGGTCAGGCCCTCGTCGAGCTCCTTTGATGGCGTGCGGATGCCGGCGTAGAATGCCGATTCGTACGGCGTCAAAGGGGCCGCGGCCGACTTGGCGCTGTCGGGCTCTACGACGTAGCAAGACAGGCCCTGCTTCCGCAGCTCGTCCATCATCGTCCCGCGGCCGGCCTGGCCGGCGTGGACCTGCTGCGGACCGAGCTCGTTCTGCGGCAAAGACTGGCGCTGACCCATGTCGTTGGCCTGTGGCGACGGCGAGGCAGGCCGCAGTGGCTGCTGCTGCTGCTGCTGCTGCTCGGCGTGCTCGTAGGCGGTGGAGTCGTCGATGAGATCGTGGGGCAGCGCCTCGTTGACCTGGCTGTCAAAGGTGGTACCGGGGAAGAGGGGGAGGAGCGGACGCCCCTGGCTCTCAAAGTCGAAGTCGCAGTCGTCAAAGAGCGAGGGCGAGGTGAGGAAGTCGCGCGCGGATGCGGGCGAGTCGACCGAGTCGCTAAAGTAGCCTTCTGCGGGCGAGCGGTCCGCCGAGGGAGTGAGCGGGGCGTTGTCTGTGGCGGTGGCGGCGACGTGTGCGAGTACGGCTGCGGCAAGGTCGAGAGAAGTGACGGGGATGTCGTGCTGATGCAGAGCGGATTCTGCGCCAGCTTCCCGAGCCCGGTCGGCGGGTGCAGCCGGGAATGGACGGGGCGAGGCGAGGGCCTCGAGGGGGTCAAAGTGGTGGCGAATGGCGGGCTTTTGGGGAGGGGGAGAGGAAGGCCACTGGGTGTTTGCCAGCGCCTGACGGATGAACTCGGTGGGGCTGCCGCGTTCAGAGGGAGTTAGGCGGAAGGGAGATGATGGGGCGGCGAGTGCGTCGGGTGGCGGCTCTTGCGGTGAGAGGGGATGGTGTTCGCGGTGGCGGAGGGGATGCGTGGGGGTGGAGGATTCGAGGCAAGAGGAGCTGCGCATCGAGCAAGGGGTCGATGGAGCGAGGGATGGATGGCGGGGGAAGGTGTCCCGCAAGGTCGCCTTTGGCGAGACTGTGCTGCTGAGAGGCAGAGAGCGGTGGGTGCTGCTAGCTGGCAATGTTGGCGACGGCGGTGGGTGGGTGGATGACGGGGTGATTGGCTGTCGGGGCGACTGGTTGTGATCCAGACTGGATGTGACGGAGGTGCGGTGCTGGTGAGGTGGGTGCTGCAATGCGGGGATGGCGGTGTTGCCGGTGGTGGACAAGGTAGTGGCGAGGAGGATGGTGTTGGTGGTGGCGAAGTTGGTGATGGCGAAGAGACGAACGAGATGGAAAAGGGCCAAGGGGCACCCTGACCGACCGGCCTCTCTGTGGTTGCACTTTTGACTTTTCGGGGTCGGCGGCGACGCGGTGGCGTGGGCCGGGCGGCTGGGTTGCAGCTGGGCAGGGCAGGGCAGGGCAGGGCGTGAAATCCCGACGTCGCGGACATACGGCGGCGAGGCAGCTTGCTTGCCAGCAGCAAGAGCCCTAGCCAACCAGCCTCAGATTTGGCACTCAGGGCCACCTCGCCCGTTGCCCCTCGGCCTTGAAGCCCACGCACGGCAAGGTCCTGTATGGCGGATCGACGTGCGTGCGCGCCTCTGCGGCAGTCGGAGCGAGAGGGGGCGATCCATGACTCACGCCCGCCCGCTCCCGGCGTGCTGCCATCCGAAGACGTCGCCAGCGGGTCAGGCCAGGCCAGGCGGTGCTGTCAGTCGGGTGCATGCCCTTGCTTGGGCGCGCCCTCTTGCTTGCAACAGCTAGCACCCGACGCTGCCTCGGAGTTAGGCTCCATACGCTCGTCGTTCCTCTTCCGCCGCCATGTCAAATCATCGTATCCAACCAAGGTCGGTCGGGCGGGCGGGCCATAGGGATCCAGGGTCCACCCATCATCCTGTCGTCGTTCCCTCCACTTCCGACGCCTTCCCTTGCTTTCGCTTTCGCTTTTGACGGCCAACCAGGCGGGCCAGGCCTGGCCGGGCGCGTCTGATCCGACCCCGGACACGCGCCCTCGAGTCATCGCCACCCTGGCCTGGCCTGGCCTGGCCTGCCACCACCACCACCGTCGTGTCCTGACTAGCCTCTGACTCGACTCAATCTCGACCAAGTCATCCCAACACCACATGCCCCTCGCCGCGCACTCGGTTTGCCGACTGGCACCTGCATCGCATCCCATCCCAACTCATCCCCTTGTCGTCGCCTGCGTCGCCGTCAGAGCCAAACCAGGAGCCCCACGGGCCGATGAACGGGGAAAGGAGTGTGGATTGACAAAGGCCATTGCCACCATCGAGGCATGGCGGTGCGGTGACAGGGGTACATACGGTAGCAGCAGCAACAACATGGCTGGCCGCACGTCGCATGCAGTAGTACCAGTAGGGACGAGTAGTAGAGCATGCGAGGCCAGCAGCGAGTCGACTAGGGTATAGGTATCGCTCCGAGTCAGGGGCGTGGTAATGGCAGCAGAGAGCGAGAGAGCAAGAGTGATAGTAGTAGCAGTAGGTAGCAGCTGGGATGGGGTGATGCTTGACGAGGTCGGATGCGTGAGGTGGGCCGCCTCAGACGACGCGAAGCATGGTGCGGCGCCGGTCGGCCTTGAGGTCGAGGCCGCGCTTGCCCTGCCGCTCGAGGCGCCGGCTGACCTTGCCCGCGTGCGCCTCGCACAGCCGGCGGCCGTCGACGTTGAAGTACTCGTCGAGCAACTGGCGGCACACGAGGCCCTTGCTGTCGTACTCGCACCGGAAGCACTGCGGATGGAAGCGGTCGCCCGCCTCCGTCTGGCGGCAGTCGCCCTCGACGCCCCGCCCGCACGACCGGCACACGCTGCCGTTGGCCTCGTGGTAGTGCCGCGCGCAGTAGGGCTGGTTACCGTGCACGTAGAAGCTGCCGTCGTCGAACGCGCCGTCGCACCGGAAGCAGCTGAAGCAGGACCGGTGGAAGACGCCCTTGAGCGCACCGTCCGACGCCTTGACCGCCCCGCGCTCCACCGACAGCCCGCACTTGCGGCACTTGGGCAGGTACAGCTCCTTCCAGTCCTTGGCGCACAGCAGCTTGCCGTCCCGCTCCACAAACGGCGTCCGGCTCGACGACAGCGAGCATTGGCAGATGCAGCACCGCTTCGCCTCGCGCTTCTTGGCCTCGCGCTCCCGCTTCTGCAGCTTGAGCAGCTGGCGGATCTTTTCCTTTTCCTTGAGCCTCTCAATCTCCCGATCCAGGTCCCGCTCCCGCCGCCGCCGCACCTCCCGCTCCAGCTCCTCTTGCCGCTCCCGCTCCCGCTGCCGCTCGCGCTCCTTGCGCTGCCTCTCGGACACGTCTGACGATGTCGAGGTCGAGCGTCCGGCAGGGCCTCGCGTGTCGTCGCCATGCTCGTCGTCGTCGTCGTCGTCGTTGATATGGCCGTCGCCGCCGTCGCGGTCGCCGCCGCGACGCCCTGCCTTTGGGTCCGCGCCGAGATCCTTGGACATGGACTGCGGGCTCGCCGTGAGGCCCTTCATGAGATCCTCGATGCCCGCCAGGTCAATCTCGACCTTGGTGCCCGACCTGCTCACGCCGCTGCGTGCCGTCGCCGCGACCGGGCTGTACGACGTCGTGGCCGGCGACGACGTCGTCTCGGTGAAACGGTCGTAGCTCGAGCTCGGCGTCAGAGCGGCGCTGCTCGTCGTGCCATCGCTGTGCTGCCGCTGTCGAGCCGAGCCGTTTCCGCTGGGAAAGACCGGGTCGAGGTGTGACGATGCGTGGCTCGAGACCGAGGACGACGACGGCTGCTTGAGATGAGGTACGTCCCGACCCTGCGGCCTAGCAGCGTCTCTGGCCGAGCTGGAGCCCGCTGCCCGTTCCTGGCCCGCCTGGTGGTCTCTGCCCGCCTTCTGCAGGCGCAAGGCGGCCATGACGGTGGTGGCAGCCGCCGCAGCGCTCGCCTGCTTCTTGGCGGCCCGCTGCTGCTCGATCATCCGCCTCCGCTCGAGCGCCTCGCGTTCGCCATCGCTGGCCGATCGCTGCATGCCCGTCGCGGCAGGCTCGACCAGCGCAGGTACGCTGCCCTTGGAGGTCGGTGGCGCATGGGTCGGATCGATCGGCGACGTGGCGGCAGAGGCGCTGCTGCTGCCGCTGCCCTCGAATCTCGACAGGAACTCGGAGCGCGTCGAGCCAGGCGTCGAGACGGCAAAGGCCGGGCTGAGCCGCCCATTGTCGCCCACCACGTGCTGGTACTTGTCGAAGAAGGGAGACCGCGGTCCCAGCCCGGCAGTCGAGGGCGTGCTCGGCGTGCTTGGGCCGAAGTCAAGGCTGGGCGACGGCACTTTGATGGTGAGCATCGACGCCTGGCTGGGACCGCGCGGGATGCACGAATGGTCGGACAGCTCCTCGAAGCTGAAGAGCTCGCCGCAGTCGGCGCACTTGGCCTTGGGCAGTTCCTCGACAAACATTGTCGCGCGGTTGTGATTCTTCGGCGCGGGCGGCCCGGGTATCGAAGGCAGCGCAGGCATTCGGTCGTCGTCGCTGCTTGCACCGTGATTGGAGCGCCACGCCCCGGCATCGGAGCTGACGAAATGGCTGAAACGGCTGACGGTGGCCCAGCCCGAAGGCGTGATGTCGTCGTCGTCGTCATCGTCGCCCTCGGCCTCCTCGAAGTCGTCTTCGTACCGAGTCTCGCGGTCAAAGGACGTGTGCATCGAGGCCTTTGATCTCCGCCGCGCAGGCGCGACCGTGTCATTGCTGCAGTAGCTCGGATCGTGCGGCCCCGATGTCGTCGTTGACGACGCTCGGTGTACGGTCTGGTCGCTGTTTCTCGGTCTGACCGTCATCGCGACGCTGTCGCGGTCGTACGCCAGCCCAAGGACTGAGCCGGAGCTGCTCGAGTCGAGCGTGTTGGACCGCGGCTGGGCAGCCGGATAGTGGTGAGACGCCTGCTGCCCAAGGCTCGGTAGAGGCGGGGGTATCGTTGCCGGAGATGCGTAGAGGGCCGAAGAGTCGGCGTAGGCGGTCTCGTAGGCGGCGCTGTCGCTACCATGCGAGTGCCCAGAGTCGCTGCGGTGCACGCCGTGATGAGCGCCTCGGCTTGTCGCGGCGTGATAGCCGTCCGGGGCTGGGTACGCATGCTGGTCGCGGTGAAAGTAGCTGCTGCTGAAGGCCTGCTGCTGCTGCTGCTGCTGCTGCTGCTGCTGCCATCTCTGGTCCGCTTCCCACTGCTGCTGCTGCTCTTGCTGTTGCTGCTGTTGGTAGAGCAGCTGGTGGTGGTGTCGTCTTTCGAGTTCGATGCGAGCGCACTCCTCCTGCTCCCAGAGCGCACGCTGACGTACCCGTTCCTGGTCCTCTGCGTCGCGCTGGAAGCGCCGCAGGCCGAACCCGGCCATGTTGCCGCCTTCGTCTCGCGGCGCTGGTGGTGCGGCGCCGTAGCCGTGCTGCGCATAGTCGGTCATGGCCGCGAGCGGGGGCCGGGAGATGGGCGGCAGGGCTCGTAAGGGATGATGGATGGGGCTAGAGGTGTGTAGCGGAGCAGCTCGCAGATCAGACGCTGGACATGGTCGCTCAGGAGGCGACCAAGAACCCTAAGTGGTGCCTTGGCGAGGTCGAGCGTCAGGTGTAGGTGGTTGACCTGGCAGGACGAAGGAGCGCGAAGGTGCAAGGCTATGGTGCCGCTGGTTGCAGTGGTGTGGGACGGGCGTCTGGGGCGATGGTGGAAGAGCGAAAGATGAAGGCGTCGGGGACGGTGACCAGCAAAGTGCAGTTCCCAGGTTGATGCCAACAATGCCTTTGCTGCCGGCGTCTAGCCCAGGTCGAGCTCGAGTGGGCGTGTGCCTCGAGTATCGAAGCGGTCGATGGCCCACGCTGTTGTTTGTGTGAGATCCACGATCAAGGTCAGACAGGCAGGGCTGGAGCACGCCCTATGGCGGCGCGTAGGGAGGGCCGGGACCTGCGAGGCGAAAGAGGGCGGCGATGGGATACCGCGCCAGCCAAGGCTTGTGAGGCAGGGGAGATGGTCGTTGCAAGGCCCGACGAGAGGGCGAGGGCGGGCGCAAGGGTTTCGCGCGGGGGGGTTCGACGGTCTGACGGCTGAGATGTCGATCCAAGGCACGGCGTACGCCAGGGTTGAAGTTGCCAAGATTAGCCAGGGTGCGAGGCCAGGGTGGGGTGAGCAGCGAGGAGGTGGATCGACAAGAGGCAAGGTCGGCCTGCCGATCGACGGCCGGGGTCCAGGGTGGCTAGCGATGCGGGGTCGAGAGACGAGGCAGGGCGAAAAGGGGGGGTCGGACGAGGCGGGCGGGCGTCGTTCGATGGCGGCCTGGTCGGATGGTTGTCGAGTTGGGAGCGCGGGGGGGAAACGAGGGAGGGATGGAGTGAGATGGCGAGGCGTGTCCAATTGGGCAGGTCGACTTGCTTGCTCAGGGTGCAAGCGGGACGTCGATGTGAGGCACGAGCGGTACAGGAGTGCAAGCGGCCGGCGTGGCTTGCGTATATGTGCTAGGAAGAGAGGAAGAGGGGGGGCGGGGGACGAGGCGGAGGACGAGGGCGAAGACGAGGACGAGGGGATGGGCGGGTGGCGGGAGGAGCGCGCAGGGGAGCGGGCTGCAGGACGAGGTCGAGCCAGGGTGGCAGCATGACAGGCGGGCCGGCCAGCAGTCCAGGCTAGGGGGCGCGAGCGTTTGCGGGGTCGTCTGGCCCAGACCAAGCCAAAGCCAAAGCCAAAGCCAAGCCAAGCCCGAGGGGGGCGCAGCAGCGGGCAGCCAGGCAGCCAGGCAGCGTCGAAGAAATCCAAAAAAGAGCAGCGGCGCAGCGCAGCCCGCCAGGGTCAACGCAACGCAGCGACGATCCAATCCAACGCAAGGGGCGCCCTAAAGACGGAATGCCAGCGCCACCTTGAATCGCTCGTCGCTCGGGCCGGCCGGCTCTCGCCACCACCCTCCTGCCTCCGTCACCCGCCCGGTTGCTGCCATGGCGGTATCCGTCTCATCCCGTCGGCCACAGAGTGGACACCTGGTCGGCCGTAATGACCCGCTCCATGTCGTCGATTGATGTTGCGGCAACGAGGCAGGCAGCGACAAGAGACTGGGACAATGAACGGGTCGCCGCCGCCGTCGGGTTGGCAGGGCAGCGTCCCGTCTTTGCCGAGCGAAGCAGATCCAAGCGATGGAAAGCACAGGCCAGGAGCGACAGGGCCAGAGGTGAGCGGAGCTGAGGGTGAGCTGGCGCATCCCTCTGACCTCTCACCTCTCTATCTCTGTCTCTGTCCCTGCCTCAGTCTGTCGTGGAACAATCCCAGAATATAGGGGCCAGCCTGCACAGACGGACCAACGATGGCAGGCAGCGGCAGGCCAACAAAGATGACCGAGGAACGCACGCACGCACGCACGCGCGCTCGGTCGGTCGGTCGGTCGGCCATCGTCGCAACGACGCCTTGGTTCTTCTTTCTCCTCTGTCCACCTTTTCTTCTTATTCTTCTCTTGCTTCTCGCCACGGCGGATTGCCGCAGGTACTGTATGTACGGTAGCACCGCAATTCCGCAAAGTCGGGCGTCGTCGCACGCACAGTGGAGGTCAAGCGGCGGTGGCATCGACGTCGTTCGGTCGGTCCGTCGGCTGTGCCCGTCCTGCTTGCACATTGCAGCAGAGAATCAAAGCTCAACATCGCTCGCTCGCGGGTCCCGTCCAGGCAGTCAGTCAGGCAGGCAGGCAGGCAGGTCGAGTATAGCACCGTATCGTCAGGCCAGGCGGCGCGCGCAGCGGCGTGCCAGAAAGCTTCTTGGCGTTGACGAGAATAACTCTGCTCGAAGTTGACCAGCCTTGCCATCCGTCGTAGCCATGGCACGGACAGGTCTGGCCTGGGCGGCGTACCTGTGAGTCCGACGCCGACGCGTCTTCCAAGGAGCGGCGGAGTGGGTGGGCACGCGACCTGGGGCTTGAAGTGAAGGCACACGGCCAAGCCGGCCGGGGTTCCCAGCCAGGTTCTTTGAACACCGACGACGGCGTCGTGCCGTGCCTGGCCCAGCCTAGCCTACGACAAGCCTCCCCTTGCTCTCTCTCCGTCTTCCCAGCTCCCACCGACCCTCTTGGGCTCCCGCGGCCGAGCGCCCGATGAACCTCGTCCGATCAGCACGGCGCCGAGCTCATCCATCCCGCTCCGATTCATCGCTCCTCGGCGTGCACCGCCGCCGCCGCTCCCTCTCTCCTCCTCTGACCACGCGCACCACTCACGGCGTGCGAGTGGCAACCGCCGAGAGGGTACGGTACTGTAGCGAGTGTGGTGTAGCTTGCAGGCGCGCGCAGGCGTGGTGCGCCGCAGCGATACTAATGAGACCAAAAAATACAACCAGAGAGCGACGACGGCGACAGCGACGACGACTAGACAATGACCGCTCAGAACGATGAACCCTCCCAACAATAGACAAGACCGAAGAACAAGCAGGACCCGGGTGGAAGAAGGCAGAGGGCGATATGGACAGCAGGGTCCCATAGGCTCACCGACAGCGGTGGCGCTGGCGGCGCAGACCGCGTCGGCGAGGGGGGAAAAGAAACAACAAGAAGCCCGTGACGTGCAACATGATACAGCTGGCGGACGATCGATGCCGTGGCGCGCCGCGGCGTGGCAGGGCGGTGTGGGGGGGTGTGGTCCTATGGCGAAAGTCGACTGTGTGAGCCCGACGAGCGCGTTGGCACAGCCGGGTGCCATCAGCGACGTCGTGCGCGCGAAACGGCCGACCACGCCACCGCCTTCGTCCTCGAAAGCGGCTTGATGGCTGTCGCCGGAGGAAAGCGATTCGACCAGGTAGGCCTCGCGTCGCCCCTGGCCAGGTCCAGCCTATGGCCGCTTTCAAGAGGCGCGCGCGTGCGCACGCGCCGCAAGTGGCAGACGAAAGGAGAAGAGGGGAAGGCGTCGAAGCTGCCGGAGCAAACCCTCGCGCCCCCGGTTTCCCTTCCGATGCGCTGCTCAATCGATGCTGAGCCGTGGTTGCAGGTGCAGCACGCTGGTGCTTCCGTCGCCGAGCGGCGTCAGCGCCTTGCCGTCGTAGCCGACAATGAGGCCCTGCTGTCGCGCCATCTGCTTTTCCCGCGAGTGCCGCCCGATGGCGTTCTTGAGGCCGCGGTCAAAGTTGCGCGTGCACCGTATCGTCATGGCCACCGTCACGAGGATCATGAGAATGGCCAGCACGGAAAACGTCGTGAGGCTCTTGTAGACCTCCTGGTAGAGGCCCGTCCGCCCCTGCCAGATGCGGATCAGCTTGTAGCTGAAGTAGGTCATGGCGCCCGCCAGCCCGACGGTGAAGAGCGACATGCCCCACCGCAGCTCCTGGCGCACCGACCACATGGCAAAGCAGAGGATGATCAGGGTAAAGGGCGCCGAGACCATCGTGATGATGCGCTCCGCCAGGCCAATCTGCTGCACCACGAGGATGAGCTGAATGCAGAAGGCGATGAAGATGAAGAAGTCGAACTTGAGCAGGGCGAGGAAGATCTGGTAGTGGAGGTAGGCGCGCTTGAGGCCGCGGTCGGCGCCAATCTTCTTGTAGATCTGCCAGCCAAACTCCTTCCACATCTGCCAGCCGAGGATGATGAACGCGATCTCGGCGACGCCGATCACGATCGGGATGGCGCCCGTCAGAATCTGGACGGGCACCGTCTGCGCGCTGCCTTCGAGCACTCCGTCGCCGAGCACGTCCCGGATCTCCTGGATCTGGATGACGGAGTAAACGAGGCTGGCGGACAGAAGAGAGCGGGGGGAGGGCGGGGAGGCAGGGACAGGTCAGCTGCGCTGCTCGCATCCCGGCCCGGCGGCAGTGCCGCGGCAGCAACCAATCGACGACGGCGACGATGGCGACGAGGACTCACAAGCACAGGTTGAAGACGAGCAGGCTGATGACCAGAATCGTGTTGCGGTTGACGACGGCGTCGATGGCCAGGAGCATCTGGTAGGCGTGCGCGATGGCAAAGACCATGACAAAGACGGGGAGCGCCTGGGACTTGGCGCCCTCGAGCACGCTGGCGGTGCCGGTGGTGATCTGCTTGTGGAGACGATACCGGGCGAGGAGGACGCCTTCGATCGAGATGTTGACGGCGGCCTCGCCCAGGGTGATGAGGAGGAAGAGGCGGCAGGACCACGATCTGGGGATCCAGGACCAGAGGCGGGAGATGCCTTGCGCCGGCGGTGGTGGGCCGTAGGGCTGTCTGAAGCTGCCGCTCATGATCGAGTTCTTGCTCATGTCCGGCACGAGAAGAAGCGAGTGTGAGGCGGCAGGAGGGGGCGGAAGAAGGGCGGAGGGTCTGTCTGTCGGAGGCGGGAGTGTCGGTTCGAGTGAGGCGGGTCTTCTTTGTCGCCGAGGAGGCAAACGGTCGAGGGGTCAAGGGCGAGCGAAGAAGGGACGAGAGAGGGAAGGTGGGAAGCGAGACGAAGCTCCGAGTGACTGGGCCAGCGAGGCACTCGGGTGAAGGTCGAGGCGTGGGACGAGGTTCTGAACGCAGGCTTCAGAGGGCGGTTGCTACCAGAGCAAGCGGACGACGAGCTGCGAGCGAAGATGGAGGTGTATGACGGACGTGATGAAGGAGGGTGAGGGGTGGCGAGTAAGAGTCGAGGCTGCGTTGGTTGTCGGCGAGTTGCTGGACAACGCTGATCGGCTGGGTTGATGTTGGACTGAGCAGATCAGACCAGAACAGGAGACGGTCGGCGTCTGGCTGAGGGAGGCCAGCAAAGACGACGAGAGTAGCGGTGTGTGTTGTGTGTCGGGGGGGCCAGATGTCCGAGCGTGGGTGCTAGGAGCAAGTGCGAGGTGGGTGAGTGGGCGGCCGTGCTAGGGCGAGTTGGTGCCAAAGAGTGTGGGGCTTGTATGAGAGAGTGTGTGTATGCTGCGGCGCGCGACAGCAGAAGTCGGCACAGAGAAAGCTGATCGACGAGGCGGAGGTGGAGAGTGGACCAGAGGCGTGGAATGGAGTGGAGTGGAGTGGAGCGGATTCGAGTGGAATGAGGTGACTCGGTTGTAGATGATGGTGGTGGCGAGGAGGGAGAGAGTGAAGGGGAGAGAGGGGTAGAGAGGGGAGAGCTGGCCGGAGATGGGGTTCGATGGGGTTGCTGGTGGGGTGGTGATGGTGGTGATGGTGGTGATGTTGTCGATGGTGGGTTGCAACTGGAGGCGCGGGTTGCCAAGGCGGGTGTGCAGCCCAGCTGCCGCCCTGACTGGCCTGGCCTGCCCTGGTTCCGCTCTCTCTCACTGATCTGAGCTTGACCTGGCTCGCGCGCGGCGTGCCTGCCGAGCCAAGAAAGACGGCCGGCCGGCCTGGCTGGCCTGGCAGGCCAAGCAAAGTCCAAATTGGGAGCGCCCCGCGCCCAAACCAGAGACAGAGAGGCAGCGCAGCGCAAAGTAGTGTGGCAGCCAGCAGCCACGGCAGCAGCAGCAGCATGCCACGCCACGCCATCTGCTTCCTGCTGCCTGACCTGGCCTCTCGGTGGTCGCCACTCTTTCCCCCCCTCCGCCCCTATCGCGTGCCCTGCGGCTCCATTTCGACGATGACTGCAATTGATCGATCTCGATTGACTGATTGTCCTAGCCTGGCCAGCTCGATGAAGCCGGCAGCGGCCAGGCGATCCGCAGTGCGTAGAAGCCAGGTACTACTACTGTGGGTCATGGTCACCACGCACGTCGGTGCCGCTGTGAGCTGGCAAGGCCTGGCACCCCATTCAGCGAGTCGGCTCGGGTCGGGTCCGCTGCAAGCCCATGGCGCGTTCCTCGACGACGACGACGACGGCGGACGTACGTGTATTGGACTCTCGCGCGGTTCTCCCTTCGCTCGCTTGCTCGCAGGCAGGCCGGTCTCCCAACCCTGCCTGAGAGAGGCCGACCTGCGGGGTCCTCTCCTCCGAACACATTCGATCTCTTGAACGCCGTCGGCCTTCGGCACCGTGGTGAGTACCCCCACCTCCTCTGCCTGCTCTGCCTGCTCTGCCTGCATTCATAATCAAGAATCTGCTGTTGTCTGTCGAGGGTGGCTGGAGATGAAGCTGAGCCTGGTACCGTAGTAGCAGCGGTCCGAAAACGCTACAACGCCCCAACTCTGCACCTCTTCTGTATGCACGCCAGGCCGACGGTAGCCAGCAGGCCTGGCAAGAATAAGCCCAAAGGCTAGACCAGTTTCGACGACAACGACGCCGCAGAGGACCCTATCAACGCGATGCCGGGGAGAGAGGACAGATCAGAGTAGATAGAGCGGGGCCTGCCAGGTGGCCTTTCACACACAACTGGTTCCCGACAAAGCAGCAAGCAAGACGGGCGGAGGTGGGTTCTTGATCGTCCCCCTTAGCTCGCTCATTCTGCTTCATGATGCCACGTCGTTGGCGGCTGTTTGCACGACCTTGAGCCAGCCCCTGCACCTGGCCTTTGTCTTCGTCGGTTGGCATGCAGTGCGGGCGCAAGATCCGGCTCACTGCACGCGCATGCCAGCTCGACGGGGCATGGCCTCCTGTGAAGACATTCGAACAGCGGCTGAAGACGGCCAGCATGGATGGCAAACGACGCCGTGGAAGTGGGGCCTGATCATTGACGACCCAAACGATCAACACCTCTCTCTCTGTCTCTGTCTCTGTCTCTCTCTCTGCTCACTGCGCCGGCGCGGCCCTTCAGGCAGCAGGGATCCATTCCCTGCCGGCCCCTTCGCGTTCGCGGCGCTTCGTCTCGCGATCCAGATCCGCCTCGCCCTGCCTCTTGACCTCCCGCGTCCGTCGCTCCAGCCCCTCGACCCTGCCGTCGAGCGCCTGCCGCAGCTCGGCAGCCAGCCCGCGCGTCGTCGTCGCCGAGGCCGACCCCGCCGGCGGCCGGCTGTCGGGATCCTCGGCCTGCAGCAGCACCTCGTCGAACAGCGAGTAGGGCAGCCATGAAGAGCCGGGACGCTTGTTGTGCTTGAGCCTCGTGTCGGTCTCCTGCACAGGGTCGAAGCGCAACGCCAGTCGAGGTAAGAAGGAAGAAGAGAGAAAGGGGCGGGGCGAGTCAGCAGACAAGCCCCGCAGCAACAAACCGGAAAGAAAGTTGCCGCTCTGGCGCGCCTCGGCGAGCGACCGTGGTACTCACGCTCTTGACCATGGCGATGCAGGCCCGCAGCGCCTCGTCAATCATGCCGTAGCGGCGTAGCACGCGAACGACGGCGTCGGGCCGTTGCCGCTCGAACCACTGCTTTAGACACGCGGGCATCTCGCCAAACAGCCGCAGGCTCACCACCTTGTCGAGCACCACCAGCCGGTAGCGCCAGCAGCCCTGCTCGGTGTCAAACATGTCGAGGTGCAGCTCGAGGTACCGCCAGGCGCGCTCGGACGCCGATTCGGTCCAACCCGCCGCCTTTTCCGACAGCGCCAGGAACGACGCTTCCGGCTCCTCGAGGTCCTCGTCCGAGTCCTGCAGCGCCAGCACGTCGCCCTCGGCGCTGCTGACGGCATCGCTACCCCGGGCGCGCAGGCGCAGCGTGCGTGCGCGCGCCAGGGCGACGCACTTGGTCGCCAGGCTGGCAAAGATGGGCGTCATGTCGACGTCGAGCGCACTGGCCGTCGAAAAGGCCAGGTCGAAGCGGTCGGCGTTGACAAAGAGCAGCACCGCATCCGAGGGGCGCAGCGTCGACGTCGAGTACCCGAGCTCCGGGTAGCGCCCGACGAGCTCGAGGCGCGCCAGGATCAAGGCGTACTCGCGGCGGATGTCTGGCAGCGACACGATCCGGATCTCGCGCGCCGTCGGAGCGAAGAGGTTCGAAGGGACGTAGCTCGTCAGCGCGCGCGGGCCGGAGCTCTTGGCCCTCCGAGAGGCCGCCTGCTCGTCGTCCTGCCCACCAAAGAGGAGCGACGAGGCTGCGGCGCCGCCTGCCGCCTCGTCGGCGTCGGACGTGTCGGCATGCGCGAACCACGCGTTCTCCGGGCGGATCATCGAGAGGGCGTTGATCGAGGCGAGGTAGCTCTGCGCCTGCTTGACGGCCAGGTCCATGAAGTCGCCGACCGGATCGAGGCCGGCCCTGTCGCCTCCGCGGTGGATCTCGCCGATCCGCTGGGCGTGCTGGTACATGACGGCGCCGGCGCTCTTGAGGTCGCCGCGGAAGATGTGGTACGAGTAGAGGACGAAGTAGTAGTTGGGTGTCGACAGCGGGTCCGAGTTGCGCGCCTTGAACGACAGCGTCCGCTCGATCTCGGGTTGCAGGCCCGGGAAGCTGAACTTGAGCAGCGTCCCGATCTCGCCCGCCTCGCACATGACGCCCACCAGGCTGCGCAGGCAGTCCTTCTGCAGGCCCGGGTGCGGCAGCGCCATGATGGTGGCGTAGGCCTCGGAAAAGTCGTGCATGTCGAGCTGGGCGCGGAAGATCTTGAACCACAGGTCACGCGAGGTGGCCTGCTCGCCGCCGTCCCCGCTCGCGCCGCCGGCAAAGTCGTCGCCAGCCTCGATCGACGCCTGGCAGAACTTGGCCACGTGGAAGGGGGAGTCGGCGACCTCGAAGAATGACGAGACGTGGCGGTAGAAGAGGGCAGCCCGATCCTTGGCAGAGACGCTGGTGATCGACGGCGGTAGAAGGTCGACGAGGCCGTCCGCATTCCTCTGCAGGAGGGCAGGTGCCTCGACGGCTGGCACGACACGCTCAAACGCCTCGCCGGCTTCATCGAGGCGGCCGAGGTATACGAGCGCCCGCGCCCGCACGTAGTGGGCTGCGGGCGTCGGAGGAAAGTGCGAGAGGAACGCGAGCGCCGCCGAGGGGAAGCCCTGGCGCACCAGCGCGTCGCCCATCCGCGCGTGCCCGGCGCTCAGCACGGGCATCGGCGGTGTGCTCGCCTGGTCGCCGACCTCGCCTTTGAGCAGGTCCGACGAGCCAAGGGCGCGCACGACGACCGAGCCGATCTTGCGGCCCAGGCTCGAAGCGGCCCGGCGGTCGTCGGCGGCGCTGACGACGAGGAGCTGGTTGGCCACGCAGAAGTGGAGCAGGCTCGGCCATTCGAACTGACGGCGCCTCTCGTCTTCTCCTTGGCGACCGAGGGGAAGAGCGACGCTCAAGCGTCCCAGCCGGGCGGCAAGGTTGTCGCGGTCGCCGGCTTCGAACGACTGCGCCTGGATCTCGGCAACGCCCGGAGTCCGCGCCAGCTCGAGGAGGGCGTTGAGGCTCTGCAGGGTCGAGAGGGCGTGTGCGACGTAGAGCGGGATGTCGGACACCTGGGCTGCCGTGTCACTGCACGAGTACAGCGCGATGACCAGGATCGCAAAGGTCGTTGCGAGAGTGTGCCTGACAGCGACCGCCTGCAGGAGCGCGTCGCCGCAGAGCGAAGCGCCCAGGTCAGACAGGGTCACGTCGCTGTGGCGGCGCAGAGGCGCGGTCGGGTCCTGGTCGCCCTCGAAGCCGCTTGTCAGGAGCGCAACGACATCGCTGAGCGCGGATTCGAGGCTGGCGCCCAGTGTGTTGACCAGCTTCTCGACCACGGCGGTGGCAATACCCTCGATGTTGCAGAGGTCCATGCACCACAACTCCGTCGCAGCCTGCTCCAACGAGAAGCCGAGCGGCGACGAAAACAGCTTCTGGACGGAGCCGGTGAATGCCTCGATGTCGACGGGCGAGAACTGCTGGACGAGCTGCGAGGCGGCATCGACGACCTCAAAGACATCGGCCACGGTGGCAGACGTTGAGCCGAGCACAGGGAGGATGTCGGCGCTGTGCAAGTCGGCGGCCGAGAAGAGCAACCGACGTTCGGCCGCGACCTGCTCGAGCGCGGACGGGTTGAGGCCCTTGGCGGCCGCGGCAGCCTCGGCGAACTCCCCAAGGCGTTGCAGCCTCTCGACGATGCTGGGGCCGTCCTCGAGCGTGGGAACGCAGAGGGCTGCTCGCGTGACGACTAGCGGCTCGGCCACGGTGCCGGCCGCTCCGTAGGCCTCAAGCCTAGGCATCGAGAGCTCAATGGGCCAGAGCGCGCTGCCCTCGATCTGCTCGGCGAGGCCAACGAAGCGCGTCCACTCGCGGACGATCGAGCTGTGAAACTTGTCGTAGAGCTTGCCGCCGGTCTTGGGATCCACCTCGAGCTCGCAGTTGCTGGCCACGATGGTGCCAACCTCCTCGGCCAGGCTGCCGAAAAGGGTCGATGGCTGCCGCGACGTCGACGGGACGGCATCGCGGTACATCTTGATGGCGGTGCGGAGCGTCGACTCCGAGAACCTGCCGGGCTCGAGGACGCGAGACAGGAAGACGTCGGCCGGGTCGGCCGACTTCCTCGTCGCCTCGAGGATCTCTTCGAAGTCGTCTCCGTGCATCGGTCGGAAGTGGCGCTCGCAGCTGACGGTCCTCCAGTCGTCGTCGGGCGCAGCGGCGCCGCTAAGCCTGATGCTAGTGCTGCTCTCGTCCGGTCCAGAGGGAGCCGCCGACTCATCGCCGATCCGGGTATACTTGAGCAGCGGGCCGTTGCCGGCGTCCCAGAGCGTCCACATCGCCCAGGCTTCGTCGGCGTCCTCGGAAATGGGCGCGATGGCAACGTCGCGGAGCTCGATGCCCCTGCCGCGCGTCTCGGGATCGCATCGCTTCTCCCATACCAGCGAGACTTCGCCGAGCCCGCCAGAAGAGCTCCGGCTCTCTTCGAGGTCGACCGAGTAGAGCGCAAACATGTTGCCGTGGGGCATCGGCGCGGGCACGTAGGCGAGCAGATACCTGACGGAGCTGTTGGCTTCGTCGTCGCGGGCCGAGAAGAGCTTGAGCATCGGCTTCGCATTCAGGCCGAAGGGCGGTACACCGTCCTTTGAACCGCGCGCGTCGGCGTCGTCTCCGGCCACCATGAGCTGCCGTTCCGCCGTCGCCCCGGGATCCGCCGAGATGGGAAGGTCGAGGGTGCGGACGCAGCTCTCCGAGACGAGGTTCCAGACGCGCAGCTTGCGATCCCGGCTGGCGGCGAACGCGAGGGCATAGCCGTTGCCGTCGACGTAGGTGGTGACGGAGAGGGCGTGGGTGGGCGAAGAGGAGGCGTCTATCGGCGAAGCGGAGCGGCTGAAGAAGCGCGAGACGCCCGAGAGGAACGACGTGGGCCGCAGCACGCTCTCCTTCCAGGTTCCCTCGAAGCCGTGGTCGCCAGAGCGGACCTGCTGCAGCTTGACGATCGATCCGTCTCCGCAGGTGAGCAGGACCAGACCCGCATCCTCGATGAATGCGTGGGTTGCCGCTCTGGAGCCCACAGCCGACCCGCTGGACGAGTCGTGGGCGGCCAGCTGCGAGACGCGGTACTCGGTCGACCACGCGGGCCCCAGCGATGCCGCGTGGAAGAGGAAGGGCAGCGGAAAGTTGAGGCGGTAGAGGTAGCCGGTCGTAGTGACGGCGACCACGTAGAGGCAGCCGGATAGCCGGTCGGCAAACAGACCGACGTTTGGGAGCAAGGGCGCTGGAAAGAGGAACGTCTTGGGCGGCGGGCCCGACTGCAAGGCGTCGAGGCTAGGCGCAAAGGTATCCGACTTGGCGAGGGCGCGGCTGTTGGTGGCGGCCGCTGGCACGGAGCCTTGGGATGAAGAGATGCGGCACCAGCGCAGCTCGAGCTCGCGGGCGCCGGCGACAGCGCGAGCGAGGACGAAGCCGGCGTCGTAGCCCGAAGCAGGCGAGGGAAAGTAGGCTCTTGCGTGGGCGGCATGGTGTTCTGGGATGCTGCTGTAGGGACTGCTGGTGCTGGTGCTGGCGCTAGTGCTGCTGTTGCTGTTGTAGCCGGGGTGGCTGGGAGTGGGTACCGTGATTGGCTCGTCTTGGGACTGAGAGAGGTGGATGCTGTCGCGAGAGGTGCTGGGCCCGATGGCGGCCGTGGCCAGGCGGTAGGGAGTGTATGGTAGCGGCATCCTGGCAAGGGCGGTGTCGAAGTGCAGCGTTCGGCAGGTCTGAGTGCGCGAGGGTGGTGCAGTCGGCCTATCGCTCAAGGAATGAGGGGCGGCGGGAAGGCAGCTGGAAGGTGGTCAGCCGCTGTGGAACCCCATGCCTCCGCCGTGGATGGTCTGCGGCAGTCGCCGTTCCAAAAGAGGAGCAGTCGCAGTTTCGGGCTCCGCCTGAGATAAGACAGAGAAACGGCGCGGTATGGGTGCAAGATGAGTGGGTAGCGGGGGTGTGAATGGACGAGGTATGGAGGTGAAGTGGAAAGCGCGACACAGAGAGAGAGAGGGAGGGAGGGAGGCAGCTGGGCGCGTGTTGATCTTGTCTTCCTGGCAGGCCAGGCGAGGCGCAGCTGCAGCAGCCCCGATTGGCGGCGGGCCGACTGCCATCTCTCGCCCCGCCTCGAAAAAAATCAGAGAGCAGCTGCTGGTGATCGGGCCTCCTCCACCACCACCACCGCCACTTCCACCACTACCACCGACCACTCCCGCAAACGACATCCTTCCGATCCAGGTCAAGACTACTGGCGAATGCTGAAGGAGATCAAAGCCAGTCAGCCAGCCTCGTCCAGCATTTCAACGGACTCGCTCGATCCGGACGCATCAAGATTGAGGTACCGGTACGAAGCATCCGGACACCCTCTCGCCGCCATCGGCCGCCGCCTTCGCGACGTTGTGTCTTTTGATCGAAGAGTCCAAATTCCATCTCTAGAGAGATCGAAAAACGCTAAAAGTACAGGGCCGCCCCTCGCTTGGGGCTACAGCGCAACTTCTAGAGGATGCAATGCGGGAGAGGTCTACGTCGATTGAATGAGAGTGGATGCCGCCCGACACGGCTCCCAGCCTCGGCCACGGGGGGGCAGGCTTGCGGCCGCGCACCCGGGCTCGGGCGAGCTTATGCGGTTCGAGTCGGCGGGTCAGCAGACGCCGGCCGACGGCGACGGTATGCTGCGTTTCTATCTACGGAAAGGGATGGCAAGGAGCGGTAAGCGGGAGTTTTGGTGTCGACGAAGCGTCCATGGTGGTGATGTCTATCAAAGGGGAACAAGCGGCGGGCGTCTGACCATGCAGGATCAGAGGAGGTAGGCCAGACCTCCGACGACGGCGGCCAGCGAGACCATGCCGAGGCCGGTCGTCGAAGAGGCGGCGCCGCTCGTCTGGTTGCTCTTGGTCGCCGGCTGGGTGGATCCGGACTTGGCAGCGGAAGCGGCGCCGCTCGACGACGCCGCCTGGCCCGAAGCGCCCGACGACGTCTTGGCGGCGGGGGCGGCGCTCGAGGTCGACGAGGCGGCGGCGGGGGCGGCGCTCTGGTAGGCGCCCAGCAGCTTGCGGTCGTCGGGCTTGGCCTTGGAGTCAGCGGCGTTCTTGTACCACTCGGCGCCCGAGAGCTGGGCAATGTTCATTGCATCCCATCCGAGTCCCTTGAGGTCCGGGTAGTAGCCCTTGAAGATGTCGATCGAGGCGTGGGTCAGCTCGTGCTCGAGGATGATGAGGCCGGGCGACTTGGGGCCCGTGATCCACGGCTTGACCGAGCCCTTGATCTTGTCCGGCTGCTCGTCGGAGCACGAGGAGCCGCCCTGGTCGTCGAGGCACCAGTCGTCGGTGTCCTTGTTCCAGATGACGCTGGTCAGGCCAAAGACCTCTTCGGCGATGGCGCGGACGCGGTTGTCAATGTCGCCCTGCGGCGGGCGCCAGTAGCGCGGGATGTAGCCGCCGCTCTGGTCGGCGATGGCCTGCATGGTCCAGCCCAGCTCGCCGACAATCTGCTCGTTGGTGAGCGTCGTCATGAGGTTGTGGCTCCACGTGTGGACGGCAAAGTGCTGGTTGCCCAGGTCGACGGCCTTCTTGAACTGCGCCGCGTTCTGGACGACGTTGGAGCCAATCATAAAGTGGGTCGCCGACTGGCTGTTCTGGCCCAGGAAGTCGTAGAGCGAGTCGCTGTTGGTCGTGGGGCCGTCGTCGAAGTTGACGGCGATCTTGCCGTCGGGCGCCTCGTGCAGCTCGTTCTTGCCGTAGCACTGGTTGATGGTCCAGGAGCACGTCTTGGGGTCGGTGCCGACGCCGTTGGGGTACGTGTTGACGCCGGTGGCCTTGTCGAGGACCGAGGCGGGGATGTCGGGGATCTTGCCGGCAGAGACGGCCGTCTTGAGGGCGTCGAGCCACTCCTTGGGGACGTGGGCCTGGTCGACGACCTCGAGCACGGGCGGGTACTTGCTCGTGTCCTGGCGCGGGCGGATCTCGACGCGGAACGAGGACGGCGTGGCCATGGCCGAGCCCGCCAGGAGGGCGAGGGTGAGGAACTTGAGCATCGTGCGGCGGGTATCAAAGGGGATGATCCGGGTTGGTCTAGGGAGCGGGCGGGAGATGGGGGAGAAACGGGACCTCGAACCATACCGAGTGGCGGGGGCTTATATGTGTGTTGTCGACCGTCAACGACCTGGTCAGCGAGAGATGGCCTTGGACCTTCGTTGGCACGAGGCGCCGGCAGACCAGAAACGCCGGCTGCAACCTGTCGAGCTACCGCACTGCACACTGCCGCCGCTGCTGCTGCTGCTATCTTTGTCTAGGCATCTGACGGGACCAAGGGCGTGAAGCTAAACGGACATTGTGACGGGTCCCGACGAGGTCCGAGCCAGCGCTACCAGGTCACGGCTGCAGGCGAGCGGGGGACCGAGTCTTCTTCGTCGAGGCACCGACGACGCCGTAGTATTGTCTCCCAGCAGAACAGTGGCGAGGGATATGGTGCGCCGTCGATGACGCTGGCTGACCGCAGACCAGCTGGCAGGCAGCCAGGCAGTCGGACGAGCGGCTGCGCGTAGATCCTTGACGGACAGGGAACTCCGGAGCGGCAGCGTTTCCTCCTACACAAAGGTGAGGAGGGCGAGAGCGCGCGTGCGTGCCTTTGTGGGCAACGGCACGACGACGACGACGATTGTTTAGGCCCGGCCATGCATGGACACAATGGGGCAGTCGCGGTGCGAGTGTCGGGTCTGCCACAGGCCGTGAGGGTTGGGTAAGGTGCTGCCGTGACAGGACGACTCAACAGCTGGCAGACAGGGCGAGGATGGAGCAAAGCCACGGTGTGTGAAACGAGACCGAAAGGGTCGAGGTCGCCGGCCTGCTCTGCTTCGTCTGACCAGCCAGGAGTACGTTCTGTCGGTACACATATGTATGTACATACATACACACGCATGCACCTGCTCTCGCTAGGTCTACAGCGGCTGCTCAGGGGCGAGTGGGGGAGCGAGGAAGGCGGACGTCAGGCAACGGGACCAGATCCACCGCTAGCGAAATCTTGCGCCCTCCGGCCGTCATCAGCAGCACCGCAATCGTCGGACGGGAAATTTGAGCCGCAGGCAAGCAGGCCAGCCGTTGGTCCAAGACACGCACGTACGGCGGAGGCAGCAGCCAAGCTCGCAAGGTTGAGCCGGGGCAGCCTCTGGTCCCTGGCCTCTACGCTTTCCCGAATTCAATCTGACACGAGGCATCGGTCGGTCCTCGTCCTCGCCGCCACTTCCCACCGTCTTTGTCTTTGTATACTGCTCGGTCCCCTGCCCATCATCGGCGGCGGCCAGGGACGACAAAGGCCATCGAGGTCAACACTCGGCTTTATCATGGTGGCCAACGGAGGCTTCGGTCGGTTCTCGCTGATCAGCGATCACCCACTTCATTCTTGTTATTGTGTGGCCTGACGCAGCGGCGCTCGCCCCTGCCGCTGTTTACGGTAGACGAGCTGCCCTGCTGCCTGCACGTCGGTGAACCGGCGGATCGCCCAGGCGAAGCGGCAGTCCCTGCTCCGTTGCTCTGGTCGCCTTCGCCTTCTTGCGACTTTGGCGGCGTGGGTCAAAGGTTGACGGTCAACTCGGCTGGCCTTGGCCGTTCAACGCCGTCGACACCGGTGTCGCGAATGAGAGTCAACCCTTGCACCCACCGGAGAGACGAGCTGGCAGGGGCACGACACCGGTACCACTGTGGCCATCGAGATCTGGGCTTTGCCCGGCAAACTTCGCTCTAGCGTGGCTGCGGCACGACGGGACGGCGTCAATCGTCTGTATGGCCCTCTCTGGGCTCCCCTCGAGACTCCGACATCGTCATCTCTGGTCCGCTTCGATGCTGTGCAAACGTGCGTGGCGGGGGAAGGAGGACGTGCGTGTCTCTGACGAGGTCCACGACGTCGCGCTGTGTTTTGCCAACGAAGCGAGCGGAGATGGATGTACCAATTCGGCGGCGACGGCAGCTGCTTATCCCCTTCTTTCGGGGCGCGGGATCACGAAGTCGGCAGATCATGTGCCCGCCCGGCCAGAAACAAGAGCTCGACGGGTTTTTGTCCGACGGCGTTGCAGCGCCGATCCTTCATCGACGACCACGGCACGCACGCACGAACTCATCTCAGTAGTGAATGGGTGCGACTCGTACCCACTTGGCCCCCTGTCCGGATAGGTAGCAGTGTGCCTGCAGGTCGGACGAGCTAGCGGTGCTTTGTTGTCGGCTCGTCTGGTGGGCCTCGTCTTCTCAGCCGCCAAGCAGGTCAGAGACCTGCCACGACTTGCGCTTCCATCGAGATCGTCTGGGATCGAATCCTTCCTTTATCAAAGGCAACAGTGGCCAGACCAGCGGCTTGGCAGTCGTGGAGCGGCGCTTGACGAGCAACATGTGCACGGGGCAAGGCATGACCCAATCGGCACCTTCCGACGGGCATCACCATCATGAGCACGGCCAGACTGCGCAACGCCGCGCCGCTCTACCGGGATCCATCGTCGCAGCACAGTCACGGCACGGTTCAATACGAGGCCCAGCATCCGATACGGGCAGCATACAGTTATGTAGCGGCCAGACCGAGCAGCCACGGTGGTCCGCCTACCGGCTTTCTTCGTGAGGGCCTCATCCGACCGGGCTGGCCAACCCACGCCACGCCGAAGAGGTGGTAAAAAAGGGGCGCGGGACGTCGCTGTCGTCGCCCGCGGATGAACGTCGGCTGGTAAACATGCTTGCAAGCGAAGGAAGCGCAGGCAAAGCAAGCAGGCAAGCGTCGGCCGCCGGCGGCAGCGCCTGCATGAGCCTGCAGCCAAAACGCCGGAGGTGCGCGACCGGCTTTGGCGCCGCACCGCATCGTTTCGGCTGGGGCCGGACCCCCCCCCCCNCNCGCCGCCGCGCGCCGACGACGACGCGCTGCGACGACGCGACGCGCGACGACGTACGCGACGTAGACGTACGTACGA